CACCTAGAACAGTGCCTGCCTAGCACAAGGGAAAGTGCCCAGTAAATGTTTGTGGACTGAACAAGTATCTGCACAGGGGAATGGTACAATCATGGAAATGACTTCCAGACAGTAGTGGGATTTGGGGCCCAACCCCTGGTACATGGTAGGTATGCCTTAAATGTTCCTCAACTAATTAAAATTTGGTGTGAACACTTTCCTTGCAAGAATAGGTAAAGAGAAGAGAAAATATATCCAGTAGAGTGTAGCTAAAGTCAAGCTTGTCTGATAGGAAGGAAACATTCAAGGAAAAACAACCTGGGTATTTCCAGGAGGTGGGATTAATGGCTCCCCATACCACACAACTGTCGTGTGGGTGGAGCAAAGGGTTTTTGGAACCACAGGTGTCCACATTCATGCTTGCCCAAGTATGTATGTCCATGAGCCAACTTCACACATTGCACACAGAGTTGAGCATGATAAAATTTTTTCACTAAGGCCCCGGAGTTTTATTAGGCAGCCAGGCCCTCCCTGCAGGGCATCATGCATTGAAGATGACAGAACAACACTTGGCAACAGCACAAGTCAGAGTATGATTAGAACACCCCAAATTTATGGGCTGACCAAACATCTGAAACAGAGAAGCTGAAGTTATCTATTAGGGAGGGCTGTTTGCTTTACAAGAGGGTAATTTATTGTTTGGAAGGCAGAAAGGCACAAGGGCATAGGGTATTTATTCAAGTCTAAAAAAGGCAAGAGTCTACATGTATTCACGAAGATACATGGCATGCGTCACTTTTTTTCTGAAATCTGTTGGGCTAGAAAGCCAATTTACACTTCCCCTTTCTACCCTGTAACAATACAGAAACTCCAGGTCAGAAAACTCATATTAAAAGAAATATACACCTTCACCCCAGGCCTCTTACCATCATGTTTGCATTGAAGTGTTTGTGGTCATGGGTTACTTTGGGTGTCTAACCACCTTGATGGTTCTCCTCCAGTTATTCTTCTGTTTATCAGTTTCCCTGTAGGAATTTGGGTTCCAATCCAAACACGTTACATCCAGCATGATTTGCTGAATGAGAAAAGCAGGGCCATCACTTCCCTTGTTCTAGGTATTATGTCTCCACTAACAGAACCTGAGATCACACTAGATTTTTACAATCCACATCTTACAGCCGACTGGTATGGAACAATAAATAGTGAACTAATAACTCGTTCTCTGAATGTTAAATCTCACCTTCCCCATTCTGTAACCAATAGTTGGTCCTCTGTTCTTTAGGACAAGGCTATTTATATATATTTCAAAAAAAATTGTGTCCTAAAAGATTGTAGGATTTGTCCCAACATTCTAACCAGATTGAGATTTGTTTTGATACTATGATTGTCTAACCTAATGCATTAACTCTTCGTCTGAATTTTTTGTCTTCTGTTACCATATTCAGCATCCCATCAATGGATTTGGTTACATGATCCACAGATCCAAATGCCACTTTTTCAGTGAGGCATTCTCTTACTGCTCTATTTTAAATTGACCCCTTCCTTGATCCAATACATTTCCTGTATGCTCTCTGCTTTTCTTTGTTCTCCATAGCACATATAATCATCTAACATACCATATATTTTGCTTATTCATTTTGTTTATTATCTTTTGCCTCCTTTAGATTGTAAGCTCCATTAGGGTAGCAGTTTTTGTCAGTTCTATTCCCTGTTGGACCCCCAGTGTGTCATATGAATGTGGCTGAATACATCAGTGTCCTCTTCCAGATCAGTAAGAATGTTGACTATAATAGGACCAAGCATAGAATCCAGTACAATCTCCTAGAGGCTGTTACCCCCACCAGACTGGTATTGATTTGTTGGTTACTTTCAAATACACTTAATGGTATTAGCATCCGACCCAACTTGTCTTTACTTTATCCAGAAGGCTGTCGAGAATATGTTACATTTTTTGCTGAAAATCAGATACTTCATGCTGGTGGTAGCCTCTGATCTGTCAATCTGGAAGTTCTTTCTCAAAAAAGGAAGTGGGAGTCATATGACATAACTTCCTCTTTCTAACTGCGTACAATCATCCTTTTGATAACCCATTTTAAACCCTGCTTGGGAGGGAAAGGGCATTAATCAATGACCTGTCCAAGCCCCTGGATTCCCTGGAAGAGAGGTACTTCCAGGTGTGAGGTTGCTCCATGCCAGGTCCTTCTGGCCGGGCCTCTGGGCTTGTTCACAGAGTGGACATGTGCTCCCTAGGAGAGGAAGCCTTCAGCTGATGGAGGTAGTGCCACTAAGCTGAAAGGCTTGGGGTCAGACGTCACGGGTTGCATTGGAATCTCTCATGGTTTTTTTCTGAGTCTCAGATTTTTGTGGTCTATAAAATAAATTTTCAAAAATATAGTTTAGTACTTTACTGAATAATGTTTATTTATAAGCTTTTGGATTTATGTCCAGTTTTTTCATGCAAGCAATAAAGATTTGAGGTTTTGGACATGTTTACTTCTATTGCTCTTTGATCTAGAGGATTTATATTTCTCTTCTCCATTTCCTTTTCCCCCATTTTTTTCTGACACATCTGTGGTTTAGGCTCTTGTCATCTCATCCCTGAATTATCACAGTAGCTTCCTAACTGACTCTAGGACTTTCGTCTCTTGCTTCTCCATCTTAGACTCTTCAACCAGGCTAATTTCCTGAACTCGGCCATTCAAAATGTGGTCTATGGACCACAGCATCAGCATCTCCTTGGAGCTTGCTAGAAATGCAGACTCTCCGGCCCCAGTCAAAACCTACTGAACCAGAATCTACATGTCAACAGGACATGTAGGTGTTTCAGACCAACATAAAGCTTGAGAAGCACTGTCCTCTCTTCCCCCATGCCATGCCTCACATTGAACCATCCCTAAACTACCTCTGTCAGAAGAGTGCCATCTTAATTTTCAGGTGAGATGTTTTTGACATGAAGATGTGAATGCTCACCCATACCATCTACTAACTGGTTCTGAGAATGATGAACAATTTTATCTAGATAACTTTAGAGCAGTTGTAAAAACTGAGATGCAACTTGAGCAGAAACCTTCTGATAAAAGCAAAATATATTGGTTTTTGATGAGTGAAAGTTAAGGAGTACTTGGGAAATATATGGGGTGAGTTGGTTGGAAATGTTCTTGTTAGTTTGACATAGTGACAGGCACTTTGCATACTTAATTTAATCCTCAAAAATGATCTCGTTCAGGTGGGTATTGTTATCCCACTTTTGCATGTAAAGAAACCGAGACTCAAACAGGTAAGATTGTCTAGAGCCACAGTATTAGTTAGAATTTTGGCTATGTTTTGGCAACAAAGATATCAGAAATGCAGTGGTTCGAGACAAGGGGCCCTGTACTGAGGTGGACAGGGGGCCCCAGATGGAGGCTTTGATGATTTACAAGGTCACCCAGCTTCCTTCTCCTGTGTTGCTTCGTCATCCTGGTTGGAGCTGGCTCCTGCCCTTGGGAAGAGGGAAAGAGAAAGTGAAGAGCCCATAATTTTCTTATAATCCAGACGTTCTGCCTGTCACTTGTACTCACATTCTGTTAGTCAAAGCTTAGCACATAGTCATATCTAACTGCAAAAGAGGCAGGAAAATGTTGAAACCTGGAGAGTTATTAGCTCAAAGGAAGAAGAAGGGTTGCTACAAGGGGGAAAATCTGAGGCCTTCCATAGGCACACAGCTGATCCATGCAAGAGCCCAGATTCAAACTCCAGGACTCCAGCCTGTGATCTTTCCACTGCACTGTTCCACCATTTCTCATACTTGACAGTCAGTAAGTGCTGGTTCCATTGAGAGAGACTGAGCTATTCCATGTAAGCCTTTTGGTTATTTGAAATTATTTCTTCCTTCTGTCTTACCTCCCTGATTACCTACATGGCTCTGTGCCAAACTGTTCCTATTTTTTGATGATGTTAATTTGTAAAGCAGGAAACTGATATACATCTTCCTTCAGAAGAAATGTTATAATACAACCATCCCCCAGTCCTTAGAGGTTCTGTGGAACCATATCAAGTGTGATAATTGGTGTAAATGATAGTAATTTTTTTAGGGACCAAATGACTATCCCCTTTAAACTAGGTGTCTTCTTAGGAGAATGCCATTGCTCAAAATATTGTTGATATTTTGTGTTGGGTCGGTTGTATCAGTCAACTCTCACTGCGATAATGCTTTGTGACAACAACAGTAGAATCTCAGAGGCAGACACAGGGTCATGAGCATTTAACGTGTATGTGGGTCTCCTGGGGGTCAGCTATTTAGACTGGGCCTGGCTGGCCAGCTCTGCATCAGGCATCTCCCAATCTCCTTCTGAGATTACACATTAGCTTGAACGTATTTTTCTCTGGCAGTAGCAGAACCGTAAGAGAACAAGTGCAGTCACGTGAGGCTTCTTGAGGCCTAGGCTAAGAACTGGCAACCTATTACTCAAAGCAAGCTATGTGGCCAAACCCACAGTCAAGGGCCATGGGAAGTACTGCACACCTCAAGTGAGAGGGCGTGTCGTCGTGTGGCAAAGGGTATGAGTACAGAGTTGGTGAAGAGCTGGGGCCAACAAAGACATCTACCATGGCTCTGCCTTTAGCAAGTTATCTTGAATATTTGCAATGATGGTAAAGCTTTATCTTTTAAGGGTAGGTTTGAATTTTTTTTTTTGGTAAAATAGCTAAGTGTATGACTAAAATGAGAGAATTGGGTTAGGTTTCTCTTTAGGCAAAAAGGTAGCTGTTTAAGCATGAGGCGTATAATAATGAAACATTTCTAGAACTGGTTCAAGAATATGGCATTCAGTGGTAGAAGAGTCGGAATCAATGTACAGCCTTCCAAGGAGATCAGTTGATTGAAGGAATAACTTTCATTTGGTTGGAAAATAATAAATAAATACACCTCACAGTTGGTGTCACAAGGTCCCACTCTGTCTCAGAGTGAGAAGAGGAGTGAAGAGACACTCATCTCTGGTATTTCCTTTGAATAATCCTGAGCAAATATGCTTTCTGTGCAGATCCTCATCGCCAAGTCCCCTGTGGCTCCCTTCACCACACTTGTCTACACCATCGAGAAGGAAGGCCTGGTTCTTCAAGGTAAGATGCTTGGAGTAAGCCATTTCTGCAGGCTGATTATGCCCAGTGCCGCCCACGGCGGGTGGCAGTTACTGCCGTGCTCCTGGTAGATGCTCCTTCAGCACAGAATCATTGGCCAATGATATTTATGCTGCTTAAAGAGATTGGCAGTTGTGGCCAGAATGTGACCGAAGTGGAGGTAAAGCTGAGGGAGAAATACAGAATTTCCTAACAGAGCGAGACTACCACAGAATGAGGAGCCAGCCGAGCAGGCCAGGAACTGCAGCCACCCCAGTCCTTCGCAGACCCTGTGGGGTGAGGGACCAAGCGATAAGGCTCTGACACCAGCGTGGAGGACCCAGCATTGCCTCGGGGCCCCCACACTTAGCAGGCTGAAGAACCGTCTGGGCACCTGGGCACGGCTCCATGACGCTACTTCCTCAGTCTCCTTCTGGTCGCTCCATTTACTCCTCTTGTGCTCAAGTTCTGCCCAGGGACCAGGCCTTGCAGACCTGCCCTCTGTGATGTGGGCCTGAGTTCCGGCTCGTGGTAGAGTCCCCCTCCCCCCAGGCCACAGCCTAGAACTAACTCAGCAAATGGGGAGAATGTGAATCTAGGGTCATCATTCCCAGATGTTTGATCTTCGGGTGGTTAGGAAAGGCGTCTGGTGGCGGGTGTATAGAAAACAATAAACATGAGGGGGTAGATTCAAACCCCATTGAACTTAGCTCACAGGGTCAGACGTCCAAAACTGCTTTGTAGATTAAGAAGGGTCCCCACAGAAGTGCCCAGGAGCCACGTCTGTCCCCCACCATCGGGCAGGAGGCCCGACCCGCAGAGATGCGTAGGTGCACATCTGGCCCGGACCACAGAGGAGCATATTGTCGTTGCTATCCGTGGGAGGAATGTCTGCAAGTTAGGATTTTGTAAGCTGAGTATTTTTCCCAAGTTTGTGAAGCAGGGCAAGTCTTTACAACATCCCCACAGAGGCAAGTTGAATTGCAAAGATCTAACAGGAATTTTGTGGAGTAGGCTGTGTGGTTCATACTTCGGACTGAGGAGCAGGCTGTAGCCTTCCCTTCCCTTCCCTTTGAAAGTGTCCCCTTCTGAAGGACCCGGAAAGCAGCGTGTTTGTTTGGTGCAGCTCAGCTCCACAGCAGGGACTCGGGGAAATTTGGAGTAAGAACTACTGACCTTTGGCTCTTAGCCTTTGACTTATGCTATCCAAGTTCCTTGGTAAATATTTTTTTTACAATTGCAAATATTGTTTTCTGACAAAGAAGCAGAGATTTTAAGACCAGATTAAGCAAAGCAAACAGCAGGCCCCTTTGTTACAGACTCTCTAAGGGTGTATAAGTAATAAGCAATCAGAAAGCTGGACTTGTGTTTACCCAGTGCACAGTGTGCCCTTTGGCTCTTCATTTTTGGAGCCTTTCTTCAAAGATTAGAGGTCTGGCAAATAGCAAATTTAGATGAAGATTTCAAGAAATTCTATGGAAGATTACAAGATAATTTCAGGAGGAAAAATCCAGTTCTGTCCAGATGGCTTGTGTGCAAAGCCTTGATATGGTGCCTGTGTCTTGATCACTGGGCATTTTGGTAAATAGCATTTGGAAATCTGGTCCAATTTGGATAACTTTTAGGATAATATTTGTGGGAACAAGATTCACAGAGTTGTCTCTCAGGCTCTCATTGCTAAGATCATGATTTTGACAGGAAAGAGGAAGTTGTTTAGGGAGTGTAGAAACTGGAAATACAATGAATTGCTAGAGGTTAAAAAACTGGAAAGAAAGACTATTAGAAACAGTTGGAAAAGAGGGGAAAAAGTGGATTACTAAAGGAGGCTGACGTGGACCCGTGTGTCCAGGAAAGAGAAACATTCGGGAAAGTATTGGATGGTGCAAGAATCCCAACCAGTAAATAAAAGTGTCTGGGAGATCTTAGAGCCTCACCTGTTGATTTTGGAAGCTACACCTTCCTCTCTGAGGTTTGTTCCGGAGGCAGCAGAACCCTTCTGCCCCTATCAGTAATGCCACTTAATGCAAACCTCGGGCTATGTGCGCCCAAGACTTTCAGAAAACAAAAAGGAGCTCTGATCCTCAGAAAAGTGGGGGCCCCTCCGTTATTAGAGAGACTCCCTTGGATTTCTAATCCAGCTCTGGTGTGTTCTTGAGAAAATCTCTGGCACCTTAGTTTTGTCAGCTTGAAAAAGACTATGTTGATGTTGATTCAGGGCTTTGCAAGCTGTTTTGCGACTCATTGGTAGGTCATGAAGTAAAATGAAGAAATCATAACCAGCATTAAAAAAAAAAGAAACAGAGGAGAACAGACAATAACAGATTATATCTGCATATTGTACTGTTTCATGAACTGTTTCTTGTGTGATTGTGTACACGTGTCCACGCATTGTGAGTTTGTGAACGGAGGTTGCAATGCAAAACGTTTGTCTTATTTGGATTGCAGTCATCAGCCTGGGTGATCTCTGCAGGCCTTCCCACTTCAGCTTTATCTGATCCCCCTGGGAGATGCTGTTCTTATCATTCACTTAGCTCAGTAGAGTTGTACCCTTGAGAGCTCCACAAACCGGAACATAAAAGCTTATTTTTACCTCCAGTCTTACCAGATGACTGAACTAAAACACACCTGCACAATTCCCCAGGCTTAAAGCAAAGAAACCTTTGATCCCTGGGTGGTAACCTTGGAATGGTCCCAGAAGTCGAGGCCAAGAAGTGTTCCTTGTGTGAGGGGTTGCTCTGGCAGGACAGCGCTGAGGCGGCGTGGAGGTTGGTACCTGCAGCTCTGAGGTGGTGGGGTATACAAGCCCAGCCTGAGAGACGTGGAGACAGAGAGGGGAAGGGCTGGAGAGTAAGGGCAGCTTTTATACCAACTAAACAGGAAACTGCCAGCCCTGCCACCTGTGGCTCAACGTCCAGTCTTTGTAATGGAGCCAGCCTGGAGTGACAGGAAAGAGCAATCCAAACAGGCTACCCTGTTTTGGGGCGGGGGTGGGGGACAGGGCTGTTAGTGAGTGTGGGAATGATCGCTGGGTGCCTTTTATCCCCTTAGCAAGCCCCAAGATTCCTACTGGCCTGCCAACCTGGTTTTATAATACCTGAAGAGCTCCTGAGCTCAGAGGCAGAGGGAGGGAATAAAAGGTGAGGCCAAAATTCGATTTACTGGCTCCACAGGCCATTGCCCTCACAGATTCTCAAGGATTAGGATGCTGAGAACAGCCCGCAACTGGGGGCCTTATGTCCTTCCCGCCCCTTTGTTCACTGGGACGGGAGGGACAATAAAACGGCAGGCTGAAGAGATGAGGGGCTTGGTTAGAGATTTCTCAGGCTGCTTTTTGAAACACTTGAAGGAGCCGGTCCATGCTATTGTTGTAGTAAAATAGAGAGCGGAACTATTCTCCTTTGGCAAAAAAAAAAAAAAAAAAAGAGAGAGAAAGAAAGAAAGAAAGAAACCCTCCCAGCATCTTCAGGAGGCCGCCTGGCTCAGGCTATTACCATGGTAATACCGTGCTGTTTGCATCTTCTTTGTCTGGCTCGCACTCGTCCGGGATCCTGGCCTTTCCTGGTTGGGCCCAAGACCCTGGAAATACTTGGGCCCCAAAGGAGAGGGATCTCATGGCCCCCAACTTCTTGATGGTTCAGACTCTGAGAGGGGCCTGGTCCCAGCAGAAGGGGAGTTCAGCTATTTTGTGCAACTGAAGTGGGAAAGGTGGAGGGGGATGGGGGCAGATCCCATTAATCCATTTTTCCTTTTGTCCCCAGAGTTTACCATGAAATCCCATTGCTCACAGAGTGGGAAAGCTCAGAGGTCTGACTAGCCCAGAGTGAGGCCCAGGGATGCCAGGACCTAGTGGAGAGGGAGAACGGGGCTTGGCCTTGGGAATCGCCTTTCATGGAGTGGGCCCACAGAACTGCATGGCTGCAGAAGGGAAGGAAGCATTGACAGTGAACTCCAACCCAACCCACAACTGTTCTGGTCATGTCCTTTGCTTCCCCAGAAAGCCCCAAATGTTTTGCCACCCAGAACATGGCTGGGGCCTCTGGGCCTCTTTGTCAAGGCCTCGAATAAAGATTCTGTAGTTGAAAGCAGCCAGGCGGTTGCTGATGCTACAGGAGGCCTAAGGAAAGCCCAGGGCCTGGCTTCCCCAGAGCCATCCTGGCTTTCACGGGGCTCTTGGCAATCAAGGCCTGCCGACTTGGTAAAGAAGCAGATGCTCTAGGAGGGGCTGGCTAGGGAAAAGGAAGAGGTGCACTCAGGGGGCACCTCGTTGTCCACTCTTCCTTTGCCTTGTTTATGCTCTCCTTCCCCTCAGGAATCTAGGGAGCACTTGAAAGACAAAAGCCAAGTGGTTTTGAACAGGACAGAGGACAATGGCTTTGTTTCTTAGGAGGACAGAATTGTGTGCTTTTATATTGTTTGTGTTTTTTTTTAAATCAAGATCAGGTAAGACGGGTCAAATCTGGATTCTGGTGGTGTTCTCTACTAGCTTAGGTTTGAATGAGCAGCATAAACCTTGGGATGAGGCTAGGGTATGTCCGGGGAGCCTAGGGCACCCTGAGATAATAGGTCCAGAGAAGGTTCTGGAAACAAAGCTAGTTTTCTGGTTTTTCGCAACCATCTAGTATAGGGACTCAGAGGAAACCAGAAAACAAACAATAATTTTTTTAAGAGCTGGGAAGCTACGTGCCTCAACTTTCTTGTAAATTCAAGAATGGTTGTTTGATCACCTTTCGGAGCATGTTGGGAAAGGCATTCATCTCCTCTGTTTGTTCGCTTGTCACAAAGCTGGGTTAGATAGATTCTTCCACCCCATTTTCTTAGTCACTGAGCCAACTGGATGATTCATTGAAAAATTCTTCCCCCACCCCACCCCCAAATACCACCGTCTGAGTTCATCAGATTTCAGTTAGAGTCAGTAACCCATCTAAATATTTCTGCCCGGTGGACTCAAAGTGACCCAGAAGATTCTCAGTCTGTTTCCATCCAGGCATGGAGGTGTCTGCTTG